CCAATTTTAGGACATTTCAGCTAAAATTGGCACAAATTATGAAACTTATTTTGTATCCTCTGCCCTGATGGAATCAAAGTCTGAAGCTAAAAAGTCTGAAGCATATAGTGCCCTTCATTCACTATGTGATTGTCTGCAAAATCTAACAACTCTGTCTGCCCAAAATCTGCAAACTGGCTGTGACTTTTGTCAATTAGTGTCAACATGTCCAGACTACAAATCAGGGCAAAAATCTGGGCAAAATTTGAGTAGTGTATTCCAGGTTTAGTTTTTTTCCCCCCTTCATTTTGTTTTGTTGTCCAATGTAAGTCAATGGGGTCCAAAACATCATTGCATGGAAAACACACACACACACACACACATACAGATATTTGCCAAAATACAATTGTGTTCCAAAGAAGAAAATAACTCATACAGGTTTGTGACAACAAGAGTCTGAATAAGTAGTGACAGAGTTGTCGTTTTTAAATCAACTATTCCTTTAATCTGTAAAAAAAAAATTATGAGGTGTTTTATTCATATTATATAAGTGAACAATTCTTTCTTACCACTGACTGATTACCTTTTTTTCATTTACTCCTAGACAGCCAAGAAGCCTCCGAATAGAAGTGGACATCTATACCTGTTACTCACAGCTGACATTAATTGCTCTGTAAATCTTCTTTTGTGAGCCCATCATGCCGGTGGTGTTGCGTTCCTCGCCTCTCCTGTGGGCCCGTGTGGCTGCCATGGTTTTCGCCTGCATAGCGTTCAGCGTAGCTCTTTATGGAGCGAGTCTAACCCACGGCACGGGTGACTGGTGCGTGTTCTGCTGGAGTTTTAGTTTTGTTGGAACTCTTCTGATAATCTTAGTGGAAATGTTTGGCCTGCAGACTCGCGCCCCGGTCTCATGGAAGAACTTTCCGATCACGTTCGGCTGCTATGCCTCCCTACTCTGCCTCTCCGCCTCGATCATATTCCCCCTGTACTTCCTAAAGGGCTACGCTGGTCGCAGCGAGATGATCAACTGCCGCATTGTGTCTACCGTATTTTCTTGCCTCGCCACCATCGCGTACTTAAGCGAGGTGAGTCTGAGTAAGGCTCGTCCAGGAGAAGTAGCCGGCTACATGGCCACGGCACCAGGGCTGCTAAAGGTGTGCGAGACCTTCGTCGCCTGCATCATATTCGTCTTCATCAGCGAGCCCATATCGTATAACCAGAATGCAGCGACCAAGTGGTGCCTGGCCGTGTACTGCATATGCTTCATCTTGTCGGCAGCCGTTATCGTGATGTGCGTAGGAGAGTGCACAGGTTGCCTGCCCTTCTCCTTCGCCCGCTTCCTGTCCACATACGCCCTCCTGGCTGTGGGCTTGTATTTGTCTGCCACCATCATCTGGCCCATTTATAAGTTTGACAATGAGCACGGAGGCCAGAGCCACAGACCCAACAGCTGTGGCTCCAGCATCGGCCTGTGCCCGTGGGACAAGCTGCTGGCCATCTCGGTCCTCAGCGCTCTCAACTTCATTCTTTATCTGGCTGATCTCATCTACTCAGCCAGGCTGGTGTTTGTTACTGTTTAAGGGGTTTAGCGGGAATTAAAAAGACAGAGTAACACAAGAGGAAGGCAAAACAATAGAAGGCAGAAAGAGGGAAGTGGGTTGGAGAGTAGCGATGTTGAAATGATAGGTCATAAACTATATTCACTGTTAGCCATATTTTTGTCATGCCTGTTTAGCAATCACGTGTACAAAAAGTTAGACTTTGAAAAGGTTACACAAAAGTGTAAAATGTAACAAATGGACAAAATTAATTATATATGTTAAAAAAAATAAAGATTGCAATAAAAAAGAATATTTAATATATTTATATATATATATTACCGTTCAAAAGTTTGGAGTCTGTAAGATTTTTTAGGTTTTTGAAAGAAGTTTTAGGGTGAAAACAGTAATATTGTGAAATATCATTAAAATGCTAAATAGCTGTTTGCTATTTTAATATATTTTAAAATGTCATTTATTTCCATGATGGCAAAGCTGAAATTTCAGCAACTATTACTCCAGTCACATGATCCTTTTGAAACCATTCTAATATGTCGATTTGGTGCTCAAGAAACATTGCTTATTAAAAATATTCGTTGCCTAATATTTTTGTGGAAACCATGATACTTTTTCAGGATTTATTTGAAGTAGAAATCTTTTGTGACAATGTAAAAGTGTTTACTGTCACTTTTTATCAATGTATCTCATCCTTGCAGAATAAAAGTATTAACTATTTAAAAAAGTATTAAAAAGGTCAAACTGGCCCCAAACTTTTGAACGGTATATATAAAAGTATATAATTGCCTTAATTTGCTCAACATAAGTTTGACAAAAATGGCTTCTTTTTTCTGTTTTTACATGTTTCACATATTATTTAACTTTTTTGTAGTATGTTTGCTCATTATGCGTTATGTTGCTTTGCATGAAGGATTTTTGTACTAGTTACTTTAACTTTGTGAGTAAGTGAATGTCAAACTTTCAATCAACACAATAACACCCTTCAGTTCATTCAGGAAATCAGCATCATAAAAACTGTTGCACTTAATATGTGTGAAGTAATACTTTATATGTATCAGTACATAACACTGCTGTTTGGTGCATATACTGTATGTCAAACCATTTATATGGTGGACTGAATAGTACAAAATTAATTCTTAAAATCTAACTTCTGTCACATAAGACACGTTGACGATGAAGGGAAATATAAATGTATATTTGGACATATCATGAAACATTGAAGATATTGAATATTGAATATACACATTGTACTGGATTTATATTTGCAGGATATTATTGCTGTATGTGTAAACATGGATTTGCCAAGTATATGCAAATGCTATAGATGTTTTTCTTGTCAAATCTCTTTAAAAACCATTGCTGTTCTCTTGTACACCAGCAGTGCAGTTACACAAACACCTCACGGTAAGAAAGAAAATGAAATGTAAGTGCTGTGCTGTAAGTCTCTGGGATTTGCATGTGCCTGTCACAGACTGTTACACAGTCCTCGATGCTTGAATGAGAATGTTTTCATTGTGTTATCAAAGAGCGAGAGAGCATTTGTGTAAGTCCCTCTGTACTAAGAGTAGAACAGCACACACCGCAGCATTGTGTGAATGTGTAATCTAGCTCTGAATAAAGCCATGAAAAAGAAACAAGCGTGATATCTGTGCATCTGCACTCTTGCCTCATTTACTATTGTATCTGGTGATTCAGACTTGCCTACCATTTACTCATTCTTTGTTTAAAGTTACGCCTGTGTGAAAAGATACAGAACATCTGCCTTGAACTAATGAATCACATTCTAGAACATTCACATACAGTATATGCACTCACCCAGGGGAACATTTAATTGCTTAGAAGTCTTTCAGAGCTCAGGGGACTTGGATGGATTGTTGAATTATGCTGAATTTCTAAATCATCTTTGCCAGATGGGTTTTTCCTAAAATTAAATAGGAGAAATAATAATCTATCAACTGCTTATGTACAAAAAGTGTATAGAATACTACATTGAAGTATCTACATTTGCTGTCTATTTTCGGAAATCAATCTCATAAGAGTCTCAGTACAAACATATGGAAGAATTTTGAAAATACAAACAGACACAAACATGGCCACAGGCCTTGCACATCTCCAAGCAACACACAACAAATTATGTTTCAGGTTCCCAAATGAATCTGGGTATTTGCCCGAATCGTTTAACTGAATGACTCACACATAAAGACACAGTCACTTATTTTGTTTGTGAATGAAGTAGCTATTTTAAACGAACGGATTCAATGAATGATTCAAAGACCCACTCATAAAGACAGTGGCTGCCAAAACAGCACAACAGTATGTGAAAAAAGAAATATGTCTGAATTTACAGTACTCGTAAAAGAGTAGGCAAAACTTTACTATACCATGAGGTCATGGGAGAGGATTTATGAATGGCAGTAACATGATGCAACTGACGCTGGGAGGTCAAGTGACAATGACAACATGGTGAATGCAGTATGTCCTGATTACATTTACCATGTTACCATTGCCTCTTATCCGGCAATGACTTTGCAGACAACGTTTGCACACAAAGGCACCTCACGAAACTGAATTCGGACATGCTTCTGAAGCAGCGTAACAGTTTAATGATTTACAACAAAATAGAATGAACTTTGGTCATAACTAAGCGAACATTTAATTACTATAATACTGATGTATCGCTAGAAATAACACCAAAAGTGCAAAAAGTTGGTCAAAAACAAACATTTACACACAAACGCAACACTCAGACGCCATCTTTATTTTTTGCTCAACCATCACGGAATGGGACACATAGGAGGAATGTGGGATGTCAAAGGCAGTGTAGGATACATCTATGCTGCCTTCAAAAATCAACCAGATGAAGGCCTCTCAAGAGACAGGAAGTGAAGCTAACGCTGGATTCAGACATGCCTTGGTGCCTTCCTACCTTGAAATGTGTCCTCCGAAGGCAGCATTTTCCAATTTTCGGATGCAGCCACTATATAGAACATACTCTATACTCGCAAAGTAATTACTTACTCAAAAAAGTTCCTGCTCAAAAGAGTATGCGATTTCAAACGCAGCCGGTCACTTTTTCGTTTGTGAATAAAGTAGGTATTTTGAACGAATCACTTCAATGAATGATTCAATGACTCACTTAAAATGTCACTTGGCACCGCCTACTGAGAGTCACTGAAATAAAAACATCTAGAGCAGGTGTTCTTAAACATTTAACCAATGAATTTTACAATTATTCATTATTTATAAAGATTAGGAATTTTTGAAAGTATATTTTACTTTTGTACCCACTAAAATATTTTATAGCTTTAAATATCTAGAAAAAAATTGTGAGTTATTTATTTAAAAAATGCCCATAGCATTTTAAGATTTTATTATTTTACATGACTTTTCCAGGTCTAGACATTGCGGTTTTCCAAGACCATAAGAATCTTGGCTCTACAAAGAAAAAAAGGTTGTTGAATTAAAGTTTTAAAATTCCTCTTGAGGTGTTCATCCAGTGTGGCAATTTAAGGAACTCTAAATGATGTTTCAAGTATCTTCATTTTATATACAGGTGCATCTCAATAAATTAGAATGTCGTGGAAAAGTTCATTTATTTCAGTAATTCAACTCAAATTGTGAAACTCGTGTATTAAATAAATTCAATGCACACAGACTGAAGTTTAAGTCTTTGGTTCTTTTAATTGTGATGATTTTGGCTCACATTTAACAAAAACCCACCAATTCACTATCTCAACAAATTAGAATATGGTGACATGCCAATCAGCTAATCAACTCAAAACACCTGCAAAGGTTTCC